CTGTCAGACCTGTCCAACTCTCTGATGGGCTGCACTGGGGGCTAAGGGAGCTGTGCAGCAGCCCATTACCAGCCCTGGCTGAAGAGGGCCTGTATTATGCTCCACACCAGGGTTTTGGCTGTGTGGCTGCCCAAAGTGCTCTCGCTTTGTACTGCTACAAACTCTGTAGCATGGCAATAACAATGGCTGCGAGAAGCCTTGCACACACAAATGGGCCTTGGGCAGATCCAGCCTCACTGCACAGACCAAAATGGGGAATGCCCAATGCCCAGCTACAGAAGAGCTGTCAGTGGCACTAACACAACTGGCCAGCTAGTGGGGTGCATCCTCTCACACCTGTCACAGACAGAACATATCCATGGGCCAGTCCACCCATCACATTTGATGCTTCCCAGGTCCTGTACTGCTCTTCTTTCTGGGAAGGTCCCAGCCTGCTGGCATCCCACTTGCATCCCTTCTCCTCTGGCATTTCAGGGGTATTGCTCACTCTGCCATGTCCTTGCTGGTCAAGGACAGCAGCTCCCAGTTGCCTCTCCCTGGCCATTCCTCTCTTCCATGTTGGGCCATGTCTTCCAGTACTTCACTCTCCTTGTCTCACCAGTCTCCATGAGCATGTCCATTTCCCTGGGGGAGGCCAAGGGTATGCAGGGGGAGACTTCTAGCCTCAGCAGCTCCCAGGTGGGCCAGTCTGCCATCGGGCCATGGATGCTGTCCAGGTGCTGCAGGTCCTGGGAGTTGCGGTCTGTGACAGAGCCATCGTTGGTGTCCTCCACAGAGCTGCAGAGCAAGTTGTAGGAACAGAGATGAGATCTGGGATGTGAGCCAGGGCAGGGCATAGCTGTGGTGTTGCCCCTCATGCCTTCCTAGGATTGAGGGGATCAAGATACCCCACTAACGAGAACAGCAGGTCGTGGACTCCCAGTGGGAGTCTCCCAGTCTCTCATCCCAGTATGGCTGTATACTGCTGTGTTGGGACCCCCCAAATCTGACTCCTGAGGCTGGGGGGCCAGGGAAGGGTCCCAGCCCCATGGAGGCTCACTTGGATCTGCCCCTGGCACGGTGGGGAAAGGCCTGGCACCCCAGCCCAGAGATGCCCCAAGGTTAGAAAGACAGGCACGGCCTCCGTCAGCTGGAGCTCAGCCTGGTGATTTCCAGGACAGGCCCTGGACGTCACAAGTCCCGTCTGCTCCAGGCACCACCTCCCAAACTGCCTCTCCCCCTCCTCACCTGCCTCCAGCTCCATTGCTCGTGTCCAAATTTTGCCATTCCTTTCCCCACGGGATGTCACCTTCTTCCTGCAGCTCCGGTCCTGCGCAGCCCAGCCGGTCTCCTGCAGGATCCATCCCTGAAATGAGGCTGCTAAGGCTCAGCCCCTTGCCCCAGCCACACACCTGCTGCCGTGGCTGGATGTCCCCTGCAGGGGCCCTGGGCCAATAAGAGCTCAGAATGCAAGTGACCTATGTCCAGGTAGAGGCTGAGGACTGGGTGAGAAGGCTCTGATGTCATAATGCCATCACGGTGACACACCGAGTCAAAAAGCCTGGGCCCAGATGGGCATGTGGGTGGGCTGGACCCCAGGCTGCAACAGCTGCAGCTGGGACACTGGGAGCTGGAGGTTTTCTTTGCTGATGGGGCTGAACCGTGCCAGGCAGGGAGGGCAGTGTTCAGGAGACCTATGACACTACCCAGAGTGAACAGGCAGAGCCCGGGGCAGAACCAGCAGAGTCCAGAGGTGTAGCTGTTACTGGGTGGGTTTTCAGGGACATCAAGACCCAGGGCAGGAAGGCAGGGTCCAGGGTACAAAGGCCCCCCATGTGCCAGGGCTTAGGAGAAGTGGTACTGAACATAGCAAGTATCCCTGTGTTTGCACTGATACCTCACAGGGTCTAGCCACTGTTCCCAGCTTTTCTTGTTGAATGCACATGTGTGTACACACTCACATGCATGCACACACACGATAAGTGCCATTCATTCCCTCAAAGGTGGCTTTAATTATTAGACCAAAAACATATTAGAACGAAGACCACACAGCAACATGTATTTCAAATGAGATATATAAAATATAAAACTATTTGTATAAACCTAGCAAAGAAAGACGATCATGGTCTCGTGTAAACTCAAGGGGCCAGAGGCTGGCTGGCCACCGTATCATGAATTATTAGGCAGATGGGGTGCATGTCCTGGTCACTCCATCAGATTGACATCAGACTCTTGTGCAGGGCTAGGCCAGGGCATCCGTGATCCAGTCTGAACTCTGGCCAGCAAAAAGGATTTGTTTTGACTTTTGAGCATTTGAACCATTCAGTTTGGAGCTGGCTCAGAGTGTATAGAAGTTATTGATGGATCTGCCCAGTTCCCTAATTATTTTGACCTTGATCTGTTCTAACAGCATTGGGGGCTTTCTGTCCTTGAAGAAAATAGGCAGCATGCACAGGTCTTGTACTCCTCACACTGCACCCATCACCAGGGATCCTGGTTTTCCCTAATTAAAGAAAATCACAAGTTCTCTGATAAACCCCCCCAAAACCGTGATAAAAATAAAAGGCCCCTCACTCCCCCCCACAGCCCCCTGGCCCTGCTGGTGGCCCCTCACCCCACACCCACAGCTCCCTGCCAGAAGAGACCCCAGCTGCCAGGGTTACAGGGCCAGGGACCCAGGTCCACATCCCCCTGCACCTAGTAGGAGGCTGGGGCTGCTGCAAGAGGCAGGAGAGACCCATGCCCCCGGATCTGTGCACGGGGCAGAGGTAGCAACGGGCTGCCCACTGCAGGCTCGCGCTCCTGCCTTGCTGCCCTCCATCCCGCTTCTGCAGAGTGCACCTGTGCAGGAAAGCTGCACGCGGCTGGGAGCTCCGCACTGACCTGGCGAACCCTTCTCAGCATGTGGGGCTGCAGTGAGCAGCACAACCCTGTGCCACTTCCCCCACAGCCCCTGTGCACGGAGATCCCTGCATGCCTCCGCTGTTCTCTGCTGCTGGGCTGAGACCCCAGAGGAGGGCAGCAGGGCAGGACCCCTGCCCCACGCACATAGCCGGGGGGCCCGGGTCCACCCTAGCCCCCGACAGTGCATGCTGCAGCACGGAGCCACCCTCCCAAGCTGCCTGCAGCCCTATCCCTTCACCACAGGGCCCTGCAGTGCTGCATTGTGGCCCTGGGGCCCAAGCCCCATGTACCATCCGATTGGGAAGGAGGCCCAGCCCTGCTCAACTGCCCCTGCTCCTTCTATGGGGGCCTCAATCTGCCCAGCGTATCTGCTGGAGCTGCTCTCCAGGCTGCCTGGGGCCATGCGCATGTACACATGCACATGGCACCCCCCTGCCCCACTGCTCTCCTCCTGCTCCCTCCCAGCCCCTTGCAGGCTGGAACTCTGCCACCCTGCAGGGAGCTCATTGCAAAACTGCAATATCGGAGGGTAAACTGCTAAAATGAGAAATCCACATTTTATTCTGGTAAGGGGGAAAATCCACGTTTTACTTCGTTTTCCCTTGAGAAAGGGAAAACAGGGATCCCTGGTGATTGATTAGGAACAGTCAGCATGGATTCACCAAGGGCAAGTTACGCCTGATCAACCTGAGTGCCCGATGGCTCTGTGGATTCAAGACGACTGGTGGATGGGGTTTAAGCAAGGGTTTTGATATGGTCTCCCACAATCTCTCAGGCAACGAGGCAGTGGGCAGCTTCTCCGTGTGGCTCCCCTCTTCCCTGCTGCTTGGTTCAGGGCAGCCAGGCTGTAGAGGCCCCAGGACAAGCAGGGTAGGAGCCCACGCTCGCAGCCTGCACCTGCCCCACGCACAGATCTGGGGGGCGCAGGCCCCCCTTCCCTCCGGGAGTACGTGCAGCAGCAGGGACTTGGCCCTCCCCATCATGAGCCACCCATGGCCCTGTCCAGCTCCGTTAGGGACCTGCAGCTGTGCATTGTGGCCCCAGGCCCTAAGCCCTGTCTGGCTGGGCAGCAGCCCCAGCCCTCCCTAGCTCCCTCCAGGTGCCTCATCCCGCCCCCTCCACTTAGCTCGGGCTACCTGGGGCCAAGTGCATGTCCGTGCACATGGTACCCACTGTCTCACTGCCTTCCTCCCACCTCCCTGCAGGCTGGAGCTCTGGCAGCCTGCGGGGAGCTCATTGCAAAATGTCAAAAATCTGCAGTAAAATGAGAAATCTGCAATTGCCTCTGGTAAAATCCGCGGTTTACTCCGTTTTTCTGTGGGAAATGGAAAACCCGGATCCCTGGTCATCAATGACCTCCAAGGTAGCATAGAGTGCACCCTCAGAAAGTTTACAGATGACACCAAGCTGGGATAGTAGATAAGCTGGAGGGTAGGGCTAGGATTCAGAGTGACCTAGACAAATAGGAGGATTGTGCTGAAAGGAATCTTATGAGGTTCAACAAGGACAAGTGCAAAGTCCTGCACTTACGATGGAGCAATCCCATGCACCGGGACAGGCTGGGGGCTCGGGACAGGATGGGGGCAGCAGCTCTGCAGAAAAGGACCTGGGGGTTACTGTGGACAATAAGCTGAATGAGCCAGCAGTATGTCCTTGTTGCAAAGAAAGCTAACAGCATCCTGGGCTGCACTGGTAGGGGTGTTGCCAGTAGATCAAGGGAAGTGATTATTCTACTCTAATTCACCACTAATGAAGCCACATCTGGAGTCCTGTGTTTGGTTTTGGGCCCCCCACTCCAGAAAGGATGTG